CTACTTCTAACCCAATCTTTATGTATTCCTCACTCCTGCTGTTCTTGACTTTCTTGTTTGGCCTCTTTTAATTCACATTCCCTGGCTGGTTGCTTTGATAAAAGCAGAATGGACTTGAACCCCTTGGTTTGATACTGTTGTCCTGTGAGGATCCCACATTTATATCTGCAGTTAAGGTTTATGCAAATAGATGCTTTCGGGGAAAGGTCTCTTGGTCTTGTATTCAAGTGAGGGACACAGAGGGTAGAAGAAGCTCTTTCTTTTGGGGTTGAGGAGCAGGAATCACTGTCCATTCTGCTCATCAGTGAGACACAAGGTCTCCTCCTCCCCAAGCTTTCTGTCTAAGATTCCCTTCTTTCTAATTACTGGGAAATTCCTTCTTTTTCCTTCTTAGGGAAGGACTCACACAGCACTAGGACTTTTCTAGGCTCCCACACCTTTATACAGAAGTTGTTAAAACAAAGAAGCAACCATTGATGAATGTGTTGTTGCTTGTCCTGCTGAACAGGGACTCCTGGGAGCAGCGAACTCATCTTACCTTTTTGCTTACCAGGAGTCAAATTTAAAATCCTACAACTTTGAAGGTTTACTTAATTGAGGAGGGAAAAGATTATTATAGAAATGGCTAAATGGGCTGCCAGAGCTTAAGTTATACCCGTTGTCTTGATTATGTAATGTTTTGTACTTAAAACAAATGACACTTGACTCAACTGATAAATCTATTCTTTCTTGCTCTTACAGTAACGGTATGCAGTCTTTTCCCAGTACTGGAGACTACTTTACATCTTTATATATTCAAGACCCTCAGCATGAGATGAGTCATCTCAAAAATAAATGACCCCTTTCCCATAGTTCAAGAACTGTTAAGCAAAGTTCTGTGGTAAATCATACTATTCTTGCATTATTGTATTATTGGGTAAGTAAAAACCAATTGAGATTAACCATGATTAGATTTTAAATTTCATTTTACTTTATTTAATTTTTTGGTTTCTTTTTTTTACATTTACTTTAGCAGATTTAATAATAATAGGACAGAAATTTTAGTGCAGTGTAACCCTAATTCAGAGGAAATAGAAGAGGCCACTGACTCTAATCCCCAAGGTTTTTGACTTTGTGCCATGTCTACATGTCTACAGATAATCAACAGAGATCTTATTATCTTGGTTAAGCCAAGTCAACCCTCTAATATTTCCCTTTGGTCAGCAGTGCCATGCCTGCAGTATTTCATTATGAAATGTAATATTGTCTGCCACTAAATTAAAAGGACAGAAAAAGAAAATAATACAATTAAAGGGGTTGAAAAATGTCAACTATGCTTTCATTATGGTTGATAATAACCAGCCTTCAAATGAACTGAAAATCAAAGTGAGTTTGAGGAGGGGAAAAGCAAAACAAGGGGCTTCCTATCTTTCTACTACTTAATTAAAGTAAGACCTTGCATTTAATATCTGCTTTTTGTTTTGCTCCTAGAAATGAGAAGTGGAAGGAGCGCTGTAATCCCTGCGGTAGGGCTTGCTTCTGGGGGGTGTAACTTCCCACCCACCGGCGTTGATTCCCTGGCCTCATGTGCTGAGGCGTGTTCTGAAGCTATCTTTGAGTTCAGGAGTAGAAGACGGAGTATTTAGTGACTGCGTGGCTGTGGGGATGGCCGCTCACATATGTGTATATTGTCACTCTAACGGTAGCTATTAAAGAGAGTGTCAGAAGCCAGTTCTCAAGACCACAGAAGTTTTCATGTGATGAAATATTACACCACGAAATAATATACATAACCACCCTACTTATGTACACAAATTTTCTTATACAGACAAAGAGAGATTAGGAGGTTAAATGGCTTGACTGGCAGCCAGCTGTTAGTCAGCAAAGCTGGGATTTCAACCCAAATGAGACTGATTTCAGAAAGTCTGATCTTTTACTTGGCAGAGAAGTCATTTTTGTCTCTTTGTTACAGGGTCTTGCTGAATAACCCAGGATGGCCCCGTATTAACATGCTCTTTCCCTTAGTGTCTTGAGTGGACTATAGGCATATGCCTGGATTCACGAAGGAACTATTTTTAGTTTCAGTTACTAGGAAAATTCCATGGGTATATCAGGGATTTTCCCAAGTTGGAAGACTAGGCTATTTTACTTAGCACAATGACCATAGGGTTAGTCACTGTGTAACAGGCCACAGTCTCCTCCTTTGTCTGGTAGAATAAAATGGATGTGGTGGTGTATTCCTGTGACCCCATCACAGGAATCCGGTGTCAAAGGCAGGAAGACTGGTGGAAGTTTCAGGCTATCCTTATCTGGATAGCAAGTTCCAGGCCAACCAGGAGCAAATAGTAAGATCCTATCTCAAAAGCATCAATGAATTCAAACACAGACAAAAATGAAGAAGAAGGAGGAGGAGGAGAAGAAGAAGAAACTGAAAAAGGAAAACAAATGGCTAACTAATCTATTGTTTGAACACACAGCATTTTATCTACCTGCTCTCTTAAATAAAAGTTTTATAGCATTTGATAAAAAAGACTCAGATTTGATATTTCTTACAAAAGAAAGTTTTAAATTGGAAGTCAAGTGATAATACATACATAGCTAAGCTTACGTGGCCAAGGTGTGGTCCTGCTTTCCACAGTCTGGCTTCCATTCTGTCCTGCAAGGCTACAAGCACAAGTTGTAAATCTCTCCTGGAGACAAGTTCCTTCTCTGGCTGTCCCCACCAGCTTTTTTCTTTTCCCTTGTAGAGTTTCCTGGGAAAGCTCTAATTTCTTGGGGTCCTTTGTCTCAGTAGTCTGATAGCCAAAAGAAGAGATATGAGACAGGCTGAGAGCTATAAAGGGGCCCTGAAGGTAGGTTAGGAAGAGCTGATTCTCTCCCGTAGAGAACTTCCAGTGTCTTCGATTTCAGGCTCCACTGGCCATTTTAAATAAACCTGGCCTCTTGTGTAACAACTGATAAGCAGCTGAAGAAGAAACTGGCTGTGGAGGTGAACAACTGGGGTGGCTGATAAGAAGAATTTAGTTGTGGACTTGGAGGGAAGTGATAGGCCTGGGAAGGGTGTGTTTGGAAAAGGCTAGCCTCATCATTCAGCTCACCCAGCAACTTCCAGTCTTCACGGCGTAAGACTGTGGTAAGTTATCGGAAGTGTTACTCGTTTTCATAGAATTTTTAGCATACTGTTGGCCTGCAAAGCAAACACGGCCTGTCTAGTCACAGATGTGTGGATAGCTAAACCACTGCCTTGCAGTAACCAGTCTCTCAGGCTGAAATGAAAACATCTAAGGGGACATTTGTACTCCTCCCTTTGGCGATCAAACTATTGAAATGGAATATCTCCAGGTATATCCTGCTGGGAGCTGAGAGAGTTGAAACTGGGGGGGGGGGGGGGGAGGGGGAGGGCTCCAGAGGAGGAATTTGTCTCCCAGAGAAAGATTGAGAACTTTCTTTTCATATGATTTTGCCAGAGAGATCAGGAGCTGAGACCTTGGTGGGTCTGGGACCACACCTTGACCAGATGCCTCTTTGAACCCTATCCTTTTATCCTACAGGAAAGGCACACTGGTGTGTGTGTGTGTGTGTGTGTGTGTGTGTGTGTGTGTGTGCGCGCGCGCGCGTGTGGCCAGATCTCTTTGTTCCTCTTCCCTATGTAGTCAAATACATTAAATAAATCTTTCCTTTTGCTTTTCATTATTAGCTTGTCTTTTGAAATTCACTTATGGAGGATGGCTGGCTTGTTGTGGGAGGTGTGTGGCTTGTTGGGGCACGGATTGGACCCCAAGCCTGTGGCTCTGTACTGAAAATCAGCTGACCTAGAAAGTTTTAATGTTCCAAGCTGCTTTAGGTTGGAAAACAGGATCTGGACTCTCATCTTATTTAAAGCCTCTCTTAATCTCCTGTGGCGGCGGCTGCTGTGGGGGTGGGGATGGGGCTGGGGAGGGGTAGATTGTTGATCGTTACTAGTTCTTGCAAGACAGTTTAGAGGTGGGTGTTCTTCTCTACCTCTTCTTTCTTCAAATGGATTTAGAGAATTTACTGGTGTTGGGCAATGGGTATCCACAGGTCAAAGCATGCCTCGTGATCTTTCTCCAAGTCCGCACAGGTTAGTCAAGGTTGGGAAGCGACGTGGTTAACATTTTCAAATACAGTTCTTTTCCTTAGCCCTGAACATTTTCTTTTGCAAAATAATGCAAGACACAGACTAAAGGCTTAAGAGGAAAGTGAACGAAACAAATCCCATGCATTTCAGGTAGCACTTTACGAAGTAAAAGAATTCTGTCACATCTTTTATACTTTGTGCACTCTGATTCCTTTAGAACTTTTTGTAGGTGATTGAATAGTTTGTGGGATGCTGCTGGAGTTAAAAAAAGAAGGTGTGTGTGTGTAGGCTAAAACCAGGTGTGGTGGTGCAGGCCTAACCTAGGATTAAACTAGAGGCAGAGGCAAGCGGATTTCTCGGAGTTCGAGGCCAGCCTGGTCTACAGATCGAGTTTCAGGACAGCAAGGGCTATACAGAGAAACCCTGTCTCAAACAAAACAAAAGGAAAACGAAACGAAAACAAAGCAAATGGGGGGGGGTAGCTCTGTAAATTCTCATGGTAAATTTGAATTCCATATTCAACCAATCATTAACACAAACACACACACACACAGCTATTAGCGTGTCTCACACTGCAAAATGAAATTCCACCGAGAGTGGGTATTGTTTTTTGAATCTGGCTACCTTGCTTAGACACAAGTAGCTGTCTTTTGTCTTAAGCATTATAGACAACAGGTGTGCATTCAAAGACATTTGTAGAGAAACACAGACAAAAAAGTGACATTTCCTCAGGGCAACAATTACTAGTGAGTAAAAACCTAGAGAGCATTTTAGAAACAGAACCCTTTTAGTTTCAGATACGTAGTCCTAAAAGCCGTCCTTGCTTGGAAATCAGGTTGTGCAGCTTGGCAACCAGGCAGCCTGCCTTCCCAGTGAACTGGCTCCGCCCAGCTGCTGCTCCCCGGTACCGGCTGGAACCGAGGCGGAAGTCGGTCAGGCTGCCTCTGCCCAAGGTAAGAGTCCCGCTCTGTTTAGTTTTCGCTGTCAAGACTCTTGGCAAAGCTTATAAAAATCGAAGCCAGCTGGGCGACAGCGGCGAGCGTTGGCAGCTGCGCCGACAGGGGCAGTCAGGAGGCGGGATGGGGGCTGCGCTCGCCAGCAGGGTTTTCTTGATCTCCCTGAAGATTTAGGCTCGTAAGCCTCGTGACTTTGAGTGACGAGCCCTAATCCCAAGAAAGGGGTAGTTGCAAGGACAGGCAAGTAGGCCTGCAAAGTACTGACTTTATTTGTGCACCATAAGAAAAATTGAACAACAGCAACTTGGCTTTTACATTTAACTCCAATGTCATACTTGTCCACGTGAACGTTTCTCTCTTTTTCTCTTTCCTTCTCTCTTCTCTTTCTCCCCTTTTTGCTTTTGTCATGACGCCTAAGGTCAAAGGGAAATTTTCAACTACTAAATTGGTATGTGGAATTTTTCGTAACACAGCTAAACTTTGAACTTTCAGTTCAGTTCAGTCTTCCTTTCCTGAATTAAGAGAAGGAAAAAGAGAGAGTCTATTACACTTCGTTAATACAGAGGTGGGATTTATCTGTTGGTTTCTTGGTATCAAAGCTAGAATTTGCAGAGGAAGTTTTGTTCAGCAAAGTTTTAGTAGTCATTTAGTAGGCAGACGTTTCTTTTTGCTCTGCCTTCAGTGACACACCTTTCTGCTCAGGGAATGTCAGACTCTTTTGAAATTCAATTTACAAAAGCATTGGGGCATGTCTTTTTTGTTGCTACCTGTCAGTCACCAATTGTGGCAGGAAAATCACGTTACAAGTTTTATAGTAATATTTCTAAGAGGAGGACACTTATATCAGTTGGCACAGTTAGGCAAGATTCCAAAGAAAGAAGGTGTTTTAAATGGAGACCTGACTTATGGTCTCATTCAGTAGCCCAGACTGGCCTGGAACTTTCCATAGACCAGGCTGGCCTTGAACTCACAGATATCCATTAGCCTCTGGAGTGCTGGGATTAAAGGCGTGTGCCGCTGCACACTTAGGGGGTAGATCTGATCAAAGAATTATATGCATGCATGAAATTCTCAATAAAGAAGTGAGGCTCTGGGTATAGCTGGTCTGTTTCCCACCAGTATAGCCTTGGCTGAGTTTATGACCTTGACTTCTGGCCTTGGATCCCAAGCTGAGCTCTGCTCTCATGGAGGAGTATTGAAGTCAAAGAGCTTTTGTTTATGTCTACTGTGTCAACTGGGGTATTTGTCAATATTAGAAATTCAAACTGGAATTCGGTATGGTGGCTTGCCCCTGTAAGCCTAACACCTGGAAGGCCAAGGCAGGAAGATTGCCTTGAGTTTGAGGCCAGTCTGGGCTACACAGTAAGTTCGAGGCCAGTGTAGGTTACAGAGTGAGACTCTGTCCCAAAGCAACAAAAAAGGAAGTCAAACTGGAATTTAAAACAGCGATGCCCATTAGCATAAGTAACATTCTAATGACAGATATGAACAATACTTACCCAGAACAGTAAAATAGCAGTTTTAGATTTTGAAAGAAAAAAAGATTTATTACATATATTAATTCACATAGATGTGAGTGTATGTTTGTCTATATGTCTGTTTCTCTCTGTCATCTATCTGTATCTGAGAAAGGGCATTAAAGAGAGGAAATGCCCTCTACTTCCCGTTCTGTGATTCTAAGAGTGAATGGCCACCGATGATAACTGTTAGAAGCATTGCATAGTGCTTTTTCCTTCTCTTTTTCCTTTTATGCTCATTTATGTATGTTTTGGTACACAATGTAGCATTTTGCAGTTTCCTTAAGTTTTTACTTCTCAGTGTGGCATTAATGTGCCTTTACTTTGTGTGTGTGTGTGTGTGTGTGTGTGTGTGTATGTGTGTGTGCTTTCTTTTTGAGACGGGGTTTCTCTGTGTAGCTCTGGCTGTCAGATCAGGCTAGCTTCGAACTCAGAGATCTGCCTGCCTCTTCCTTCTGAGTGCTGGGTAAAGGCATGCGCCACAACTGCCCTGCTCATTCTTTTACTTAAATGTTTTAGGAATTTTTCGAGTTGAGTTAATCCTTGTGAAACACTTAAAAATTGGTTGTTGTCTTTGTCTTCAGAAACTATTTCATTCTTCTCTTGCTTTTGAGACAGAATCTCATGCGTCACATAGCCTAGACTGGCCTGAAATTTGCTGTGTAGCTGACGGTGCCCTTGAGCTCCCGATGGTCCCACCTCTGTCTCCTGTGTGCTGTCTTCCCTGCCTTCTTCTGTGTCCCTTCTAGAACTTGGTAGATAGTAGTCTATAGTTTGGCTATAACACAGTTTATTTTTGCAAGCTTTTAAATTATCTTATTTTTGATTTTTTTTTTTTTTTTGAGCCTGGTTTCTCTATATAACAGCTCTGCCTGTCCAGGAACTCACTTTGTAGATCAGGCTGGCCTCGAATTTAAAGAGATTCACCTGCCTCTGTCTCGCGATTGCTGAGATTAAAGGCGTGTGTCACTACTTCCTTTCCCTTACATTATCTTTAAGCTTTGCTATTTTAAATTTTCCTTGACTAACTGTCTGAGTGTTTTTTCCTATAGGATGAATTTGTAGAACTGTATGTCTTGTCAGAGGTTAAGCTTATTTTTAGCTTACTAGGGCACTGTGAAATTTCTTTTGAAAGTATTGTGACGGCTTACTCTCTGTACTCTGCATGAGTGCTCGGTTCTTTTTTTAAATTTGATTATTTTATTATTATTATTTTTTAAAATTGATTTTTATTGAGCTTTACATTTTTCTCTGCTCCCCTCCCTGCCTCTCCCTTTCCCCCTTCAGCCTTCCCCCAAGGTCCCCATGCTTCCTATTTATTCAGGAGATTTTGTCTTTTTCTACTTCCCATGTAGATTAGATCTATGTATATCTCTCTTAGTGTCCTCATTGTTGTCTAGGTTCTTTGTTATTGTGGTTTGTAGGCTGGTTTTCTTTGCTTTATGTTTAAAAACCACCTATGAGTGAGTACATGTGATAGTTGTCTTTTTCTGTGTCTGCGTTACCTCTCTCAAAATAATGTTTTCTAACTCCACCATTTGCCTGCAAAATTCATTTTTTTTTCTGCTATGTAGTACTTCTTGTGTAAATGTACCACATTTTCCTTATCCATTCTTCAGTTGAGGGGCATTCAGGTTGTTTCCAGGTTCTGGCTATGACAAACAAAGCTGCTATGAACATAGTTGAGCATATGTCCTTGTGGCACAATTGAGCATCCTTTGGATATATACCCAAAAGTGGTATTACTGGGTCTTGAGGAAGGTTGTTTCCTAATTTTCTGAGAAGTCGCCACACTGACATCCACCAGCATTCCCACCAGCAGTGCAGAAGTGTTCTCTTTTCCCCACAACCTCTCCAGCATAAGTTGCCATCAGATCTTGGCAATTTTTACAGGTGTAAGATGGAATCTCAGAGTTGTTTTGATTTGCATTTCTCTGATGACTAAGAATGTTAAACATTTCCTAAAGTGTCTTTCAGCCATTTTAGATACCTCTGTTGAGTTGAGAGTTCTCTGTTTAGGTCTGTACTCTGTTTTTTTAAAAATTGGATTATGTGTTCTTTTGGTGTCCAGTTTCTTGAGTTCTTTGTATAATTTGGATATCAGACCTCTGTCTGATGTCGGGTTAGTGAAGATCTTTTCCCATTCTGTAGGCTGTCATTTTGTCTTGTTGACAGTGTCCTTTCCTTTACAGAAGCTTTTCAGTTTTAGGAGGTCCCATTTATTAATTGTTTCTCTCAGAGTCTGTGCTGCTGGGTTATATTTAGGAAGTGGTCTCTTGGGCCAATTAGTTCAAGCATATTTCCCACTTTCTCTTATTAGGTTCAGTGTGAGGTCTTTGATCCATTTGGGCTTGAGTTTTGTGCATGGTGATAGATATGGGTCCATTTTCATTCTTATACATGTTGAAATCCAGTTATGCCAGCACCACTTGTTAAATATGCTTTGTTTTTTTCAATTGATATTTTTTGCTTCTTTGTCAAAAATCGGGTGTTCGAAGATGTGTGGATTGCTATCTGGGTCTTCTATTTGGTTTCAAGTGTTCCAAGGATATAAAGAACTGAAACATCCCAGACAGCATGGGAGTGATGAGCCAGTGAGAAACTGGGGTGAGAAATGGGAAGATGGTGGCCAAGGTTGAAAGTCACAGGGATGGATAGATGGAGGTGGGGAGATGGCTCAGTGGGTAAAGGACTTGCTGCGGAAGTCTGAGGACTCCAGTTTGGATTCTGGACAGTTATATAAATGCACTGTGGTGTCCTGACTGTAATCCCAGGGTTTAGGAGGCAGCGGATGAGACCCCTGGAGCCAGCTAGCTAGTCAAATTGGTGAGCTCTGGTTCAAACAAGACTCTGCTTCAATACATAAGGGAGCAATTGACTAGGAAGACATACAGTAAACACACAGACACTCAGGCACACATACTTGGAGAGAGAGAGGAGGGAGTTGGCTTGTGAGGAGTGGGAGAGAGCGCTAGAGAAACAGAAACTCACAGGAATGGCTATCTTCATGTAAAAGGCAGATTTAATTTGAGACAAAAGTCATGTAGTAGAACCTGGCTTTACAATGTTGCTGAAGATAGCCTAGAACTTCTGGCCTGCCTGGCCATGCATGTATCCTGAGTCCTGGGATTACAGATGTATGTGCACCATCAAACGTAGCTTTGTGCAGTGATGTGGATGGAGACACAGGGCTTCCTATGCGATAGGCAAGCACTCTTATCAATTGAGCTACGTATGTGGCCCCTAATATGCTTACGAAGACTATTTGTGACATTTGACTTTTGTTCCGCTTCGATTGTTCTTCACTTGTCCCCTAAAGTTTATTTTCACCTCTTCTTTTCTTCCTGTGATTCTTTTGTGGCTCTTACTCAAATCACACTCAACGGAACCCTCTCACCTCCATATGCCTTTTCTACCCGAGGATTCGAGCTCAGAAAGTATGACAGTCATTTTCTCACCGCTCATTTTCCATGACTTTGGTGTCTGAATCAGGTCCTTACTATATATATTTGTGTCATTTTTACCTCCCCCCCCCCGTTTCCTGCTGTGAAAAAGTGTGGAACTTTTTAAAAAAAAATTAAAAAAAAATCTTGGCAAGCAGAAATCCTTGACCCAGTTTTTGACTTCCCTATCATTTGAGATTCAGCTATCGCAGTCAATTTATTCCTTGGTATGGAAGTTTTCTAGGAAGGTGAAGTTACTAGAACAAAGGAGAGACAGAGTTTCTGAAATATTTTAGAAGGTTTAAACAGAAGTCTGGCAAATTCCCAGCTGTTAAGCACTGCGGTGTCTGGAAGAAATGAGTGTAAACGCTGATCCAGAAGTTAAGGGTGATGGCACATAATGGCGACCAGGTTTACCAATGTTTTAAAAGATTCATTTTTACTTTTAATGATGTGTGTGTTTCTGTGTGTGTGCATGTGAATGCTGGCAGAAGCCAGAAGCGTCAGGTCATCGTGGAACTGGAGTTATAGGCAGTTGTGAGCTGTCTGATTTGGGTTTTGAGTTTTAGGGATTGAACTCGGGTCCTCTGCAAGAGCAGTATGACCTCTTAACCACTGAGCCATTTCTCAGCTGCTTCTTCTCTCCCTCCTCCCTCCTCCCTTCTCTCTCTCTCTCTCTCTCTCTCTCTCTCTCTCTCCATAAGACAGGGTTTCTCTTTGTTGACGTGGCTGTCCTGGAACTCACTCTTTAGAGCAGGCTGGCCTCGAGCTCAGAGACTTACCTGCGTCTGCCTCCTGAGTGCTGGACTAAAGGTGTGCACCACCACCATCCCACTTGTCCCCCCCCCCCCCCCCCCCGCCCCCGCCCCGCCCTCCCGAGACAGGTTTGTCTGCCTCAGCCTCTGGAGTGGGGATTAGAGGTGTGTACCACCACTGCTGGGCTTCCTGTAGATTATTTATGGACACTTTTCCCTCCAACCCTCCAAGCACTGAACTAGTTGTTCTACATCCTTTCTTCATTATAGATCCTATGGGGAATCTCTGCATTGTTCCTCAGATTCATAAAGTGACTGAGCAGTTTGAATTAAGCAAGACTGTTGTCTTCCTTAGGGTTTCTATTGTTTCAATAAACACCATGACCAAAAGTCATGGGGAGGAAAGAGTTTATTTCAGTTGACCCTTTCACATCACAGTTCAACCAAGAATCTGCAGGCAGGAGCTGAAGCAGAAGCCGTGGATGAAGGGATGCTGCTTCTATGTGAACAATTGTCACAATGAATTCCCTACTCATGTTGTTCATGGTGAAATCTATTTACCTAAGAAGTTTAATGGTGATACTTTGTACTCATTCCAAAAGAGTACCCATATAATGGGAGACTCAAAAAAAAAAAAAAAAGAAAGAAAAAGAAAAAAGGAAAGGTGTGGTGTGGTGGTTTGAAAGAAAATGGTCCCCAAAGGGAGCGGCACTATTAAGAGGTGTGGCTTTGTTGGAGTGGGTTTGACCTTATTGGAGGAAGTGTGTCACGGAGGAGGCAGACTTTGAGAGCTCATATATGCTTAAGCCACACCCAGTGTCTCAGGTTGCTTCCTGTTGCCTGCAAGATGTAGAACCCTCAGCTTCTTCTCCAGCACCACGTCTGCCTGCACTCTGCCATGTTGATAATGGACTGAACCTCTGAAACTGTAAGCTGCCCAACTAAATGTTTTCTTTTCTAAAAGTTGCCATGGTCATGGTGTCTTCACAGCAATAGAAACTGAAGCTAAGACAAAGGGGTTCGAGAGATGTCTCAGCTCAGTGGTTCGGAGCACTGGTGGCTCTTGCAGGGGACTCAGATTTGAATCCCAGCATGCACATGGTGGCTCACAACAGTTTGCAATTCCAGTTCCAAAGGGCCCAAAGCCCTGGCGCTGCACGAATGTGGTGTACAGATGTACATGCAGACAAAACACCCAAGTGAAGACGGAAGTGATTGTTTTCGTGCTAGAATGTAGTTGATTGAAACCGTGTAGGGTTTATCTGGGCAGTGGTTGTGCACGTCTTTAATTCCAGCACTTGGGAGGTAGAAGTGATCTGATCGCTGTGAGTGAGTTTGAGGCCTGCCTGGTCTACAGAGTGAGTTCCAGAACAGCCCTGAAGTGTAGCACAAGCTACAGAGAAACTGTCTTAAATGCTGCCCCCCTCCCCCAACCAAACTGAAACAAACAAACAACAAAAAAAATCTTGAAGGCTTTCAAGTACTTTAAGGATAGTAATGGTTTAGATTGATAGATAATAAATAGATGATAGATAGATAGATAGATAGATAGACAGATAGATACTCAGTCCATAACTTCTGTGACTCTAGAGAACCCTGACTAATACAGGAGTCAGCTGATGTGGGTGTTGGGAAGCGAACCCTGGTCCTTTAAAAGAACAAGTACCCTTAGCCACAGAGCATGTCTCCAGCCCCTTGCTTTTTTTTTTTTTAAACCATGATTCTTTCTTCCTAGTTAAGAGAGGCTGTTGCCGTGTGCACCAGCTAGGGATATATAGTTTGTAGACCTTGAGTGCGGCATGACAGCACTTGATTAGTCATTTGTGGGCTTAATCAATCAACTTTTTGTTTTCTTACGGAGATGTCGGTTGGGGGCAAGGATTGCGTGTGCTATCTCAGCAAGGTTTCTACCACTGACCACACCCCACACTTTTCAAAAAAACTTAAAACTTACTAGTGTGTATGTGTGTGCACGTGCACACATGTGCGCACACACGGGCAGAGGTCAGAGGACATCTCTTGGGACTTGGTTCTCTACTTCGACGTTTGCACGGAATTCAGGGATCAAATTCAGGTAGTCAGACTGGCTGGCAAATGCTTTTACCCACTGAGCTATGGCACGGGTCCTGCTATATATATATATATATATATATATATATATATATATATATATATATTTTAATGAACGACACATAACTCTATTTACTTGTTTTAATGCCTTGAGCCAAGACCACTTAAATTGTGACCTCCACCTTCTTCTGTGCCTCTTGCTTGGTTGTGAAGGCAAGCCAGTCTCTTACAACATTGACTCTTCCCTTGGGCACATGGGATTACGAAAATGCTTGAGGCTGGAGTCAGAGAGATTCTATGTCTTCAACTTGCTTTCACCTTGGATTCTGGAAACAGTACAAACTCGCAGGGCAGGTGAGGACAATAATTGGATGGTGAAATGGTATCCTGGAGTAGGGCAATCATTTTAGGGGAACCAGATTGCTCCCCTCCAGCAGTGACAGCAGTGACGGGTCATTGGATAAGAGCTGACATTATGGCTAGTCAGACCTCTCTTGTACCCTCACTGCCCCAATTCTTCAGATCACTGAACCCCTTTGTTGTTTATCTTCCCTATGGAAGAATCGATTGAGTCCTTTGTCTCTGATTTTTGCTATTACATATCTCTCTAATCGGAGTTTTGGGATGGGTGGCTGAGCCCACCTGTTGGGGTACCTGGTGCTGGGGGATTTCTCCCTAAAATTATAGTAACAGGTTTCCTCCTAACAGAAGGCTTTAGAAGCCAGGATTTACTTGAAAAATCTCCAACTGCTTTGCCTAAGGACCAGTGACATTTGTTAATATTCTGCTTCCTTGGGTCACGCTTTTCTTCTAAGTCTGCCTAGAAGCGTTATGCTTCTCATACTTTTTCTGAAGGTCATGATTGGTTGCACTTATCACTTTTACAGAGGAGAATTCTATGTAACTGATGTTAGACGGAAGGTAGGTGAGCACAGGACTCCTGGGCCCCATGCTGTTCTACTTGGTAACTCCTGAGATAGAATGTATATCTTCCAGAACAGATGCTGGTTTCTGACCACATCCGTGACATAGAAAGTTCCATTTCTGTGGAGAATGAGCTGCAGCCTGTCCACAGAGTTAAACATAGTGCCATGTAACATGACCCTGCCCAGCTATTTCTAGTCCCCTGAAGTACTGTGGATCTGGGCTAGAGGAGGATGGGGTTGGGATAGAGTGGCTGCTTTTCTAACACACAGCTGGGAAGGGGAAGTCAAGAAGAGGTTTATGTGACATTTAGCTGACAGTCATTTCTTAATTCAGAAATGTCTGGGGTTCCAGGTTTTTCTGGACATTGTTCTCTATATTGCAGATTAGATGATACACCTGCTGTTACAGTTAGTTTAATAGGAAGTTGGGAGAAATTTGTTCAGATAATGATTGTTGAATCCAGAAGAGATAAAGGAAGGTGGTTGGGTGCACCTTTAATCCCAGCAGAGGCAGAGGCAGGCAGATTTCTGTGGGTTTGAGGCCAGCCTGGTCTACAGAGCTAGTTCCAGGACAGCCAGGGCTCTGGAGAAACCCTGTCTCGAAAACAAACAAAAATCCAGAAGAGACATTCCTCTAAGCTTCTCAGGGTGAGGTGAGGTGTTTTTATTGAACCAGGTTACTGTTTTTTTCATCATATCCTTTTTTTTCCTTTACTTTAGAGACAGATCACACTGTAGTTCTGGCTGGTCTGGAACTCTCTATGTAGACAGGCTTGTGCCAATCTCAAAGAGATCCTCCTGCCTCTGTTCCTGATGCTGGCACCACACCTGGTTTTGTCATATTCATAAAATCGCTCATTAGCTTTCCTCTTGGACGTTGGGTTATATTTTCATCTTGTTAAAATAAAAGAACTCATTTTTATTTTCAGGTTGGGAAGTAGAATCTTGGTGGAGTCCCACAGTTGGCGTTTTTGATAAAACTGAGATTTAGATCACATACTACACTCTTTTTATTACATAGCTCAAGACTTTGGAGAACCAAGCATTGAAAGCAAGTAATTATGTAGGATTCCTGCCCTGTGTTATTAAAGCTGCCATATTGTGTTTCCATTATGTCTGCAGGTGACGTTCTCTTCATCTCCATTTGGACATGGCAGCTCCTGAGTTTACCGTCAGTGCCCTTGTGTCTGCGTTGCTCATTTGCTCTGTGGCTAGTTACCCCAATGGAAAAGTAGCAATGTCGTGCGGTGGGATGGCCCCCCAACATGGCCACAGCCCACAGCCAGAGCCTGTTCACCAAATCACATTGAGTCAGACGAAGTTCAAACCTGGAGACCAGATCCAAGGTACTAGTGCTGGGAATAAAGACTTGCATTTTGAGTTTGAGTCTTTTCCTACTCGTTGAGTTTTTCCTGTGGCTGGAATCAAACAATTTCACTATAAACTAGTCAGTTGACTTATCATGGAATTATCTACTTTCATTGTTTTGTTTACTACAGATGTCTGTATTATGTCAGTGGCATCTATTCCTTATTAAGAACAAGGTCTAAAGTAAGTTTTTATTTTATTTATTTATTTTGGATTTTTCGAGACAGGGTTTCTCTGTAGCTTTTGGTTCCTGTCCTGGAACTAGCTCTTGTAGACCAGGCTAACCTTGAACTCACAGAGATCCACCTGCTTCTGCCTCCCGAATGCTGGGATTAAAGGCGTGTGCCACGACTGCCCGGCTAAAGTAAGTTTTTAAAATTATTTATTTAACTTTATTTAATGTGAATCGGTGTGAAGGTGTCAGATCCACCGGAACTGGATCTTCAGACAGTTGTAAGCTGCCATGTGGTTGCTGGGAATTGAACCCTGGTCCTCTGGAAGAGCAGTCAAGAGTTCTTAACCACTGAGCCATCTCTCCAGCCCAAATAAGTTTTTTTTAAGATACCAAAGAATTTATTTGTTTTATTATATTAATGTTACATTCACTGTGTTGTATCTTGAACACTATTAACTCAGTAGAATAGGAAAAAATATAATTTTATATTGTTTTACTTCCTCCCATTTTAAAAATGAGTGCAATCTCTTATGTGTCCCTGATTCTTCTGGCAAAACGTAGGTTGAGTGTTAAGGTTTATCTGTAGCCAGGTGTGGTGGTGTGTGCCATCATCCGAGCACTCTGGAGACTGAGGAAGGATCAGGGTAGGAGACAGTTTGGACAATTTAGCAAGACTCTGTTTCAGAAAAACAAAGCAAAAAGTACGTCTGTGATGACATTTGAATTTCCTGTGTTTTGCAATTATAGAATTACATAATGCTAATAGGAAAATGTTTTTGTTGTTTGAGATAGGGTTTTTTTGTTTTACTGCCCTGGCTGTCCTGGGACTAGCTCTGCAGACCAGACTGGCCTTGAACTCAGAGAGCTGCCTGTCTCTGCCTCCCGTGCTGGGATGAAAGGTGTGTGCCACCACCGCCCGGCTTGTTAATAGGAGTTCTTAACAAAAAGGATGCATGAAGAAATAAACATTGAACACTCTGTGTGCTTTAGATATCTCTTAGAATTTTACTCTGCGACAATAGAGTACTAAAGATAATCAGATTTTAGTAAAGAAACATGTTCTTACTTTCTTCGAGAATATTTTAAATTAATGTTTTCTATAGACTTATCTAGTCATCGTCCATGCTTTTACCCTCTTGTGGAACAGCTACTAATATCTTAAGGTGCCAGGCCTAAAGACCCAGGTCTATAATCCCAGATACTCAGTAGGCTGAGACAAGATGATTGTAAATTCAAGGCCAACCTGTGTTACAGAATGAATTCAAGGCTGGCCTGGGTGACTTATTGAAACTCTGTTTCAAAATAAAAATTAAAAGATGGTTGAAGACATAGTTCCATGGTGGAGTGTTTGCCTAGCGTGCACAAGGTCCTACGTGTAGTGAGTGCTGCAGAATAAACAACCCACCTACCCAAAACAAAAAAAATCAGCCTCCTAAAACATGGCGTGCATGCTCCAGGGAGCATGATTTAGATGTTCTTCTACTGGGTGATTTCTGTCCTGTGTGTTTTGCAGAGATACATCAGATTCTAACTAACTGAACTTCTTCTAAACGCTTTTTCCTGGACTATTACTAAATCTTTTACCCTAACCTGTCTTTTTATATGTTGCCCAGTTACTTTATCAGGGCCAAAATTTAAAGGCTTTCTCTTGGAAGCTCGTGATGCCGAGGATCTGAGTGGCCCTCCTGTTGGCTCCTTCACACTGATTGACAGTGAAGTGTCACAGCTTCTGACTTGTGAAGATGTCCAGGTTTGTGTGGGGTTTGAAGTTCATTTCTACTGGTTCCTCTGGGCTGCTTTTAGCCGAGAGTGGTGACTAGGTCAATGGCGGCATCGCCATGTGTAGCAGGCATTCGAACAGATTTACAGGCATCAGACCTGGCCACTGGTTTACTTAGCGGCAGTATCTGGGAATGGGAGGGTCATAGCTTGAAGAGTTTATAATTGATGATGTTTATATTACAATGGCAAATACTGACTTAAAATGTAAGACAATAACAAGCCTTTTACCCTAGCTCTCGGGAGACAGGGGCAGGCGGATCTATGAGTTTGAGGCCAGCCTGATCTACAGAGCTAGTTCCCAGACAGCCAGGGTTACACAGGGAAACTTTGTCTCAAACAAACAAGTGAACAAACAAAAAAATTGAAGGCAATTTTGTGAGTGTGTGTGTGTGTGTGTGGAGGAGGAACAGTAGGGGCATGCTGTCATATGTGTATGGAGGTCAGAAGAGAACTTAGTGGAATCAGTTTTTTTCCTCCATCTTTACATGTGCTCTGCCAACCAAACTCAAGTGTCAGACTTTGCCATTGGACACCAAGTACCTTCATCTGCTGAGCTGTCTTACTGACTTCTAAAGAATTTCAGTGATGAAGAGACAGTTTTAGGATGGAGTAGGGATATACGGTTTGACATCCATTCATTCACTCAATCATCCAATAGACACCATGTCTGGAGCGCTCCTGAGTGCCAGAGATATGGCAACAAACAAAACTTGCTTCTTTTCCTCGAAAAACTCAAGCCCTTTTTTGTTTGTTTGTTGTTTGTTTTTGAGACAGGGTTTCTCTGTGTTGCTTTGGAGCCTGTCCTGGAACTAGCTCTTGTAGACCAGGCTGGCCTCGAACTCACAGAGATCCGCTTGCCTCTGCCTCCCGAGTGCTGGGATTAAAGGCGTGCGCCACCACCGCCCGGCTAAAACTCAGACTCTTATAGAGAGGAGAGAGCCCATGGATGCAGGATAGCTGGCACAATGGCATGGCACGTGCACTTAGGACAGATTCATACGTAGGTTCGAGTGAAAACTTAGGTTAGTGTGCATACAGAGTCTGTGGGAACTGTAGCAGGGGGACGCCATAATCGGAGCAGGTGAATTCTAAGACTTTGAAGAATGTATAGGCGTTTGCCAGGTGAAAGAAATGGAAATAGGACTGTTCAAAAGTAAGAATTGCTCAAATAGGATACGTGTTTGAAGGTGTGAATTTTTTGGGGGGATATTTTGTATTTTATTCATATCTCTTAATGAAAGGAATATAAATTTAAAGTGTAAAATAAGATAAAGAACAACCTTCAAATAATATTAACACACCCAATATTCATGGTTTCCTTTCGTATTTAAGTTTCTGATGACTCTAATCTAACAGCTGATAAATGTGACTGATAACACATTTGTCAATGAGTGGGTATGAGTTTACTGAGGTCCTGGTCTTGCTCTCTATAGAATAGTCTTCCTTCAAATGCTCCGATCATACAGCAATCATTTCTTTTGTCAGTGAGTGCATCCTGACCATGCCGAGCTGTCCGGTGATGGGATGGTTGTTCTTTCCTGTTTTATTTCAGGGTGTAGCTGTGAGTCATACGTCTTCATCCAAGAAGACAGAAATCAAAGTCTACTGGAACGCTCCACGCAGTGCCCCAAGCCACATACGATTTCTGTGAGTACGCGAGCGCACGTCTCTGAAACCACTGTGGATAAGCCTGAAACCATGATGAATGAGGTGTACTGCTTTGCCCTGGACCATTCACTCGTGTAGGAGAGCTTTAGCAGTCACAGCTTACAGACAAAAGAGTTATCTTGCTTCTTTCCTTTGTTGTTACTTGAGACAGCATCTTGCTATCCAGCATTGACTGCTAGGAACTCCCTGTGTAGAAGAGGCTGGCCTTGAACTTGTAGCAGTCCTTCTGCTCCTGCTTCTGACTCCCAGAGGGACCTGGCTTTTTTTTTTCACCTCCTTTCTTCCAAAGCAAACTTGTATCACATAGCCCAGGACTTTGCACTGTACTTTTTTTTTTTTTTAATAAGCCTCCTCCTGCTCTATCCTCCCACGTGCTTGGTTTACAGGCATGCACCGCCAAGCCTGGCAGGACTTGGTACTTGAGGGGCATTTACTAGACATCACTAGACATTGTCGAGCGAGCAAAGTGTTACACTGCTTTAGGACTCCTAAGAGCCGTCAATTGGTACTTGAGTATGTGTGTACAGAGTAATACTTTCTGTTTTAGTATGAGAGCCTAGATAAGACAGGCCCGAAAGTAGGGCGGCTTCCTTGGCAGCACTATAGCTTATCAGAAAGTAAATCTCTGCATGCCTCTTGGAATCCCTCCAAGTGGGTGGACCCAGAATTACAATGGCATCCTTTTCCTATTCATCTGCACAAAGCGGAATGGAATATCATGAGCCATGTCTTGATTCCTGAGTGGTGTTCCAGACATATGCCTATCTTACAGGAGGGAATCTCCTCTGGGCGTGTTTCTTTTCAGCTTAGCTTTGTCCGCAGACCCCTGGCACACTGGAAAACTGCTTTGCCCCCGTGTGTCAGCTGCTGAGGTGGACCTCAGTGAGCGCTTAGGTTTTGGCAACCCCTATGGAGCTTTGGTCAGAGATCACGTCTTACACATGCCCTTTGGAGGTGCGTGACTAGTGTGCACTGTGGGTTGACCACGAGTGTGCTCTTGGCAGGGAACAGAAACCTATGTGGTTGAGTCGTGCCGTCCAGCATGCACGGCTGTTAATAGAAGAACAGACAGCGGATAGGAAAAGAGGGAGCGAGGGAGAGAGTGACAAAGCCCATCTAGTAATGGATGGAGGACAGTCATAAGAGATTGGCTCCACACATGGGTGTTCGTTGTCCCCTCTCCTCGCACGTTTTTTCACCTAAAGTTTTGATTTGCATCTGATGGGCCACTGCTGGGGTTTTGCCTAATTCCACTGGTACTCTTATTTCAGGGCCACGGTTGTTGAGAAATATAAAATCTACTGGGTGAAGATTCCCAGTCATGTCCTTTCGCAACCAAATGCTCCTCCCTTTACAACGCCTGCAGCGACAGCACAACCTTTGACAGTGTCACCTTCTGTCTCCCACTTAACCAAGTCGGTGAGTAGCCTCTCCGTGCCTTCACCAAATGTAGTCTAGAGTGGCTATCCGGGCAGCTGGTCCTGTGGGCGGCATTAGCTGTCCTGCGCTGTGGGAGGGAGTTTTGGGGGTACTCTGTAAAGTCTGAAGGAAGTCTTCAGAGCAACATTCTGATTTATAGGTTTGAGTAAAGGACATAAAAGAGTCTCCTTTCAGATATAGTTGCTACACTCCCAGGCAATTTTGCAAATGAGGAGTATGTGTTCCTTTTGAAAATGAAGCCAAGAAAGCCTCCCGCCCCCTCCCCTTCCCTCCCCTCCCCTCCCCTCCCCTCCCCTCCCCTTCCCTTCCCTTCCCTTCTCTTCTCTTCCTTTTCTCCAGTCTTCCTTTCTGCGAATACCAAGCATAGAGGGGATTCAGTTACATGTAGACACGATTTGGAGGGGAGCCTTGAAGTGGTGTATAATACAGATTTTATCCTATTCAGATTAGAGTGTTGGGGAACTCAGTGGGCTATGGCGGCATCTGCCCAGAATCCCAGCAGTCAGGAGGCAGAAGCAGGAGGATCGCTGAACATTTGAGACCAGGCTGGGTTACAGGGTAAATTCTAGGTTCGTCTGAACCAGATAGTAAGACTATTTCAACCCCTTCCCCTCAGCAAACAAATGGATGAAGTAAACAGCGTAGGAAGTTTGAGGTTAGCCTGAGCTACAGGAGCTTCTGCTCTCTATGTCTGTCCCCACCTCCTGCACCCGAACAGAACCTGGAAATTCAGTGTGCCGAGTCCCAGGAAAAAGAATCGCTTGTAAATCCTGTCAGCTGCAATTCCACTTAGGCTGTCTGATTCAAAAGAGCGACGATGGATAAAGAGATTTGGAAAGGGTAATGCACACTAGAAACCTTAGGAAGGTGTGCGCCAGAGAAAATTTGGATGCATTAGACTGCATGTTGCAGAAGTACATACGTAGGATAGAAAGGTGTCAGGGTGTTGCCATAGTGGAAAACACATGCTTGTGCCTAAATGGTGACTTAGCTGCGTTCAGTGGGTCTTCAGAGGAAATTATTCCTGTTTCGGCTTCACTTAAGGATGAGAAAGAGTCATGTGCTGCTCTTTATGGCCAAGAAAAGGCATCAAACTAACGAATACATGCCTTGACCTGTGCCTTGTGCCACACAGATAGGAGGTAAACTCTAGGTCAGGGCTTCTCAGCCTTCCTAATGCTGTGACCCTTTAATACAGGTCCTCATGTTGTGGTGACCCCCCCCCCCCACTGTAAAATCGTTTGTGTTGTTAATTCATAACTGTAGTTTTGCTACCATAAATATCTGTGTTTTCCGGTGGTCTTTGGGGTCGTGACCCACAGGTTGAGAAACAGTCACCCCCCCTTTCTTTTTATCTGTATATATCTCTGCTTTCACCAAATAAGGGACTGGAGAGGTGGCTCAGCAGTCAAGAGCACTTGTTGCTCTTCTAGAGGACCCAAGTTTAGTTCCAAATCCCACATCAGGCTGATCACAGCTGCCTGAAAATCCAGCTGCAGAGGCTCTGGTGCCCTCATCTGGCCTCCTTGGACTCCGAACATACATTCACACAGACACATACATACAAATAAAACTAGAAATGACTAAATAATAAACCATTTAGTTTACATAATAGTTGTCTTCTTCGGCACCCTTCTCTTCCACAGGTTTAAACACCTCCGTGGGTGTTGTATTTGATCACATTTTAATGCATGGCACACTTTGGTTTGACTGTACAATATTGAAGAGGTTATTATCTATATTAGCTCCCACTTCACTCTTAATACTCACTTAAAAACTGCTTTGAGTGAGTGAATGGTTTGGATATCACCTTCGGAATAGAAAATATTGCCCTTCGTGCTGTCAATAAAAGGGATCTATTCTTTGAAATTTTACCATACTTCTGTGCCAAGGTGATAATCTTTAATTATAGGGAGATTCATTCAGAACCCTGGCACTTTTAGGGTTAAAAGATACCTCTTCATCTCTTTTGGATTGCCAAAGTAAAGAGACTCTTAGAGAACAGGATCTTGGACAGGTGGAATAGATCAGAGCGGAGCTCATAGACCAAAGTCACGTTTTCAAGGTCCTGGTGGCTTCTGTCTTTACCCTACTGTGGAGTATTTAATGTACCTATTAAGCCTAAGGTGGTTGTGGGGGTGTGGTTGGGGTTCCTTAGGTGCCGCACTGGACTCTCTGGGCACAGTGAGTGTAGAACATTAGCTGTGCCTCCTGACACAATAGAGTTTCTCCTACGGTTATTTAGAGTGGTTTAGATCTACAAGCGTGACATCTCCTGTATCACTGAAGTGCAAATTTTGAATGTGAATTTTAAAAGCTCTTTCCAAGACCTATGCATAAAGACTCATTAATGGTTGACTTGCCTACTTTTTCCCATCTCTGGAAAACTAGAGGGTACCTGGTAGGCAAGATTGTCAGTGTGGTGTTATTCCCAGGAAACTTCTCAAAATTTACAGGGAACCTTGCTCCTCCTGGTCTTGGATGATGCGAAGTCTTTTTTATATTAAATGAACAGAAGCACTCTTGTACTACCTCAGACTGACTAGTATAGCTTTCCAAATGGTAATCAAAACTAACTACATTTAAAGATCCCCAGCTGAGAAAGCTCTGGTTGTTTCTGATTTGTCGTGCGTCCTCTGCTTCCTGTTTGGAAGGTGATCTTGTTGCTGCCCATACCTGAAGGTAATGGCTGTCCAGTCCTTGGTTGTGAATGGCTTGTTTCATAATTAAGACCTTTCCCTCCTTGTCATTTTTCCTAGTTCAGTGCTTCCGAGTGTGGGAGCAAGAAGTTCTGTGTTCGGAGTCCTTTGAACTGTGACCCAGAGACCGAGCCTGCCTGCTTCTTCTTGTCCTTCACCAGAGATGACCAGTCGGTGATGGTCGAAATGAGTGGTCCCAGTGAAGGCTACCTGTCGTTTGCGTTGTCCCATGACCAGTGGATGGTTTGTATCTATTGCTTGCCTGTGGGATGACAGCAGGAGGTTAGCATCAACAGAAGATTAGCTGTGCCTTCCAGCTCTAAGGGTAGAATGGGAAAGGAAAGCACTAAGGAGAGCTCTGAATCTCAGTGGCTGGTTCCTGATTTCAACAGGTGGGCAGTGATTTCTTAGAGTAGGTCAGCAGGGAAGACCATTTGCCATCTTATGTCCTTGTCTCTTGGTGCAAAAGCAGGAACCACAGGCAAGAGAAATGTCTGCATAAAACGCCATGTTTGTAATGCCTTTCAGACTATTGTTTGCACAGGCACTGGAACTAAAGCTGTTGCCTCTCCTGCTGGTGCCCCTGTCCTACTGCCATCAGCCAGTTTCCCACCCATGCATGCCACGTATGTGCAGGCGTTCTGACTGCTCCTTTGCCTGATGTGTGCAAGGCAACCTCTTTTTTCTGATTCTTTCTCTTCCTGGGAGGGATTTAGGGATTGTGTAGGTGGCAGCCTTGTGCTGCTGAGGAAAAGCAGAATGCTACAGAAGGGTCCAGTTCCACCAGGGAGAAGTAAGAGGACCCTTGGCAAACGTAAGTCCTCTTCGTAGAGGCTTGGCAGTGAGCAGAGTGGATGCCCACCTGTGTGACTTCCTCGTTAGGGAAGGCAAAGTCTTTGGAGACTTTTCTTCATGTCAGGGTTTAAACTGGACATCTATTCCCCCACCTTTTTAAGGGGACCATAGCTCAAAATAACCAAACAAAATCAAGCAAAGCAGAATTCTGACATGGCTGTGAAGGACGAGCCAAGATTTATTCCGAAATGCACGCCACCCAAGTTGTTGGCATTGGCAGAAGAGGATCAGGAGTTCGAGGTCATGGCCGATTTGAGGCCAGCAGCCTGGGCTTGTGAAGCCCCCATCTCAAAACACATAGCATCATAGTGACAAAGCAACACCTTACCTCATGCACTTTCAAGAGGAAGAAAGCTTCAACCTTTTCTCTGCAGAGTTACTTTTCTGGGAAGCCTTATACATCTTGATGCTGTGATTGTGCAAAATATTCCCCCTGCTTTCTCTCTGTAATTACCGTCAGACCTGCAGCTTATTCTTTTGGGGGTTCTCAGTACGAGCGAAATGAATCAAATTTGGTGCCTGAGGTGAATAATGAGGTTGAGATCAGAGTCAAATGTGACTCTAAAGCAATAAGGAAAGGCGTGTTGTGCGAACGGGATGGAATTGACTGTGAGGCAAATGCGGAAGAGGAGCCCAGATAGGATTAAAAGACCTAGTTGTCCGAACACATAATTTCCTTAAGGTGGATCTCTGGGGCACTGCGTTCATTTACATATGTCAGTTATGTATGATTAGATGTGACATATTACATCATATTTATTTGTCATTGAGAAATACAAAAACAACTTGTTTCTGAAACTGTAGAGCTCAAATTCGTGCTGTAATGTAATAGCACCATTTCCTCCTATTGGCCGCAGTGAATGAGAAAGAGGGGAGGATTTCATTGTTGAGTGTGATGGCGGATGTCCTACAGGTAGGTTGTTAGCTCTTGTAAATTGTAGGCAAGATGGCACAAAAGCATTTATCTCTAATTTGAGATATTTTAATCTCCCTTAGAAATCTTACCTATTTCTCTTATAGTGCTCATCAAAGTGTTTATAAAAAGACTTAATTACGCAGGTGCAGTTGGTTTACAGAGAGAGCCTGCTTAATGATTAGAATCAGTTATACACCTGGTTGCCTAAATTGGCGGAAGTGGATCATCTTCAGGATATACTTTAAAAGTGGTTATTTCTATTTAAGGTTGTTATTTTCAAAACTTTAGTGTATTTTTATGAACTTTTTTTTTTTTTTGAGACAGGGTCTCACTATGTACCCTTGGCTAGCTTGGAACTCTGTAGACCAGACTGGCCTTAAAACTCCCATAGATCGGCCTGCCTCTGTCTCTTGAGTACTGGGATTAAAGGCATGCGCCACCACATTCAGGGTCCTGTTATTTTTGACTATATAATAAGTTGAGATACTGAAGATGCTGGATATTTTAAATGCTGATTGGATAGCAACCTAATTTCTACCTAAAAAAAAGTGGCTCATAAATTGACGGCAATTGCTTTCATCACAAAAATTGAAAAGCATAATTTTCCAAATTTTTGCTAATAGTGACTTGCTTATTTTTACATTTTGGTCTTCTCTGTCTGTGATTTTTTTTTATGATATAAAGTCTAATAAGCAAACATATTACTAGCTTCTATCCCCATTTCCCCTCTTAAGTAGAAAACAGAGTCAATTTCTTGAACTATACACTCATAACACGGCTGCTTCTGTGATCCTCCGAAGTGTGGGGATATCTTATCACACACCGAGCAAGCGGTTGATTTTATAGCAGGCATTCAACCTTGAGATAGTGTCAGGTCCCCTAGGTTGAACACTCAGTCCCCAGGACTGCCCAGCCTCCTGCTGTGATTTTGGCTCTAGGGATGACAAACCAAGTGTGTGCATGTATACACGGTGCAGCGTGCATGCAGAAGTCAGGGGACAGCTTTGTAGAGCCAGCTTCCTCCCTCTACCTTTCTGTGGGCTCTGGGAATTGAACCCAGATCACCAGGCTTGCTCTATCAGCGTCTTTACCTTCCGAGCCATCTTTCAGCTCCTAGACTAATGGATTCTTCTGGCCCATTGCATGGCAGGTTATTGATGGAGTCTCTTTAGCTGCCTTCTGGCCCCTCTTGGCTTCTCAATCCATTTTTAGTATGTCTTAGTGTGCCCTGGTGTCACAAGATGCTTTCCGCTCATACTTCATCATTCCTCAAAATAGCCTGTTGCTTTTGAGCAGGAATAATTCAGAGAAGTTAAGATTTGAATGCTAATATGTTACCGGATGCTCATCTGTCTGTGGATTGATTTTGAGGGGCGTATTCAGGATAGGCAAGTACTCAGTACTGCTGAGCTACCCACATCTGCCCTCCCTTGTACTTTTTTTTTTTTTTTGATTTTTTGAGACAGGGTTTCTCCGTAGCTTTTGGTTCCTGTCCTGGAACTAGCTCTTGTAGACCAGGCTGGCCTCGAACTCACAGAGATCCGCGTGCCTCTGCCTCCCGAGTGCTGGGATTAAAGGCGTGCGCCACCACCGCCTGGCTCCCTTGTACTTTTTACAAACATTTTTTTTTACTTTTTACAAACATTTTTTTTTACTTTTTACAAACATTTTTTTTTTTTTATACTTTCTTACTTGGAGTGTGTGTTGCTTTGCAAGGTGCAAATGTGTGAGTTTGTTCCTCCTTCTGACATGTGGGTCCTGCGGACCACACTTAGGTCGTCAGGATTGGCAGTGAGTGCCTTTCCCTCCTGAGCTGTCTCACCAACCTTCCCATGGCCTCCAACATTGTGCTTTAATTCTCTTCACGGCATCCTCCCCGTCTCTGATGTGACTTGTACCTCTGCCTGGCCTTCCTGTGTTGCTCCTGAACCCTTCCTTAGTCTTCCTGTCTCCATAATCGCCCCTCTGAATTTCCTATATTGTGTGCTTCCACGCTTCAGACATGGATTTCTGGAACTTCGCTGTTTATAAACAGTGGCATCTTCTCTTACCCTTCATTTAGGAGGTGAAGATCGAGTTACCTGTTCCCATTCTCTCCTGTGCTGTCTTCTCTGATAGTCAGGATGCCTCTCTGTTATTGTTAGGACTGTTCCTCTAATCAGGTTGCTGCTAAGTCAGCTGCTTTGACTGTGTTGTTGTTATTATCTTTTTATGTGCACTGATTTGCAGGTACATTTGGAGGTCTGAGGTTGAAGACAGAAATCGTTCTCAATTGCTCTCCACCTCATGTTTTAAGATAAGGTTTCTCACTAAATCTGATGTTCTCACTGTTTTCATGTAGACTGGGCTCCTCCTGTCTTATCCCCCACAGCACCTGGATTACAGGTGTACATTGCCATGCCTGGCTTTTTATGTGGGTACTTTTGTTGTTGTTGTTACCGTGTTGGCTTTAGGGGTCAAATTCAGGTCATTAAACTTGGCATTGGGTACGTTTACCCACTAAGCCATTTCGTTGCTTCTCGCCGGTCTCTTTAAACAAATTATTTATTTTTGTTTTTGTGCACTTACATCATTTCCATTCTCCCCTTTCCTGCCCTCCCTCCAAACTTTCCTATGTAACTCCCATCTCCTGTTCTCTTTCAAATTCATGGCCTCTTTCTTTGTTATATATTCTAGTTCCATCTGGTACATCTGCAACAGAACTTCTGCACCTAAGACTTAGAGATCAGTGTAGAAGAGGGCATGGGAAGGCTGTGAGAGCCAGAGGAATGGGGAGTTCGTTGTGAGACTTTGTCTCTTAGAAATGTTAGAAGCTCTGCCCGCAAAGTCTCACCTACGTGGCTGCCTAAATATTACCTGAACAAGGACAGCACTAATAGACACACTAACATGGACGGGGAGATCTCAGTAGCCCTCAGCCCTAGAAGAGGAGTTACAGGCAACTATGAAATTCTGATAGTGAGAGAAACAGTCTTCCCCAGAGTAGAGCAAACCAATTCTTTGTCTAATATCAGATGGTCATCCCTGAAAAAAAAATGATTAGGGGCTCCTTAAAATAATGCCCTTGTTTTTCAGGGTTACGACGATGCTTACTTGTGTATCCGTGAAGATCAGACAGTGTATATACAGCCTTCCTATTTGACAGGGCGAAGTTATCCTGTGATGGAATCCAGGGTGAGTGTGAACATGCTGGGAACACACTTGGTTGGTCCTCCTTCCTGCTATGTGGCTGCCACCGATGTGACTGTGTGTGTGGGGCCAGCCCCTCAGTTAACCTCGCCCAGGCAAGGGCCCGGCAGTGGCATTCTTCTCTGAATTATCTCCAAGAAACATTCCATACTTAAAAAAGTACAAGGCGAAGGTCTCTGTCAGGAAACAATCAGCTATTGCTTACGTCACTTAAATTCTTTTCATTACATCTTGTCGAAAAGTATTTTATGGTTTATTGACATGATCAGCCCCTTCCCCAAAGCTTATAGGACAGTTTTATAAGATGAGGCTTGAGAGAAGGGTGCCCCATGGTTCAGTCCCCAGAACTGCAGAAACTGGGCTTGGAGGCATATGCCAGTGATGCTTTCCACTCAGTGGGTGGAGCTCCAGGGTCAAAGGTCAAGATCAGCACCAGCACCACCACCACCACCCTAACCCATGATATCCACGCTTTTAATCTCAGCACTCAGGGAGGCAGGTGGATCTCTGTGAGTTTGCGGCCAGCCTGGTCTATAGAGTGAGGTTCAGGATAGCCAGAGCTGTTACACAGAGAAACCCTGTCTTGAAACCCCCCCCCCAAAAAAAAAACAAAACAAAACAAAACAAACAAAAAAAAAAGAAAGAAAGAAAGAAAAGAAAAGGAAAAAAAAAAGGTTCAAGATAGGGCCTGGAGAGGTGGCTCAGCCATTATGAGCACTTGCTGCTCTTGCAGAGGACCCCGGTTATGTTCCCAGCACCCATGTGGTGGTTCACAACTTTCTGTAGCTCTAGTTCCGGGGAATCCAATGTCCTCTTCTGACATCTGTGGGCACCAGGCATTCGCATACCTATATGCAGGTTAAACACGCATACACATAGAGGAAAATAAGTAAGTCCTAAGGGGAGTGGATAGTTTTAAGATCACTATTGGTTACATAGAGAGTTCAAGGCTAGCCTGGACTACACCCTTTCCCAAAAACAGTCAATCAAACAAACAGCCAAACTTCTGTTAGTTACAGAAGTGGTTCATGGCTAGTGGGAAGGAAGAACCCATGTAAGCCCTGGTGCCCAGGTGGTTGCCTTGCTTCCCTCAGGAGTATTATTATTGTTTTCTAGGACAGTTGACAAGCAAATGTGCTATGAAGGCGCAGTGGCCCTTCCTTAATGTCACAGTGAATGAAGTGTGGCTGGGCAGTGGCTTTCCTCCATGATACCACTGCTGCCGTGCCCAGCTTTCCTGTGAGGTCAACTTCCTCAGAAGCCTGGAACTCTTGCCTGGATGCCTGCTGCCTGCTGGCTTCCAGGGCATTCTTCAGTGTTTCTGTTGGTGTGCTGGGTTAGCACATCTGCTAGATTTTCTAGCCTGGGTGGAGGAACTGGGGAGATCTGGCTCAGAGTGAAAAATAACGTTTGCCAAGTGACATAAAGATAAACTGGAATAATTAAAAAAAAAAACACTTGGTGTTCTTTGATGGGGAAAACTAAGGAAGGACACTGAAGATAAAACATGCTCCTCCAACCTCAGAGAAAGGAAATGGAACAGGCCAGGGTTTGGAGCGTGTCTTGCTTTTAGCAAATCTTTGGAAAGTGTTGAGAAGCTCTTCTGTTTGTAGGGGACCCTCAAGGATATGGCCTGGAGGCTGGTGGATGGCATTATACAGTGTTCATTCAGAAGAAACATCACCCTTCCTGAGGTTAAGAACAGATTTGTGTTAAACGAAAGCTACTACATCTTCCTAGCAGAAGGAGCCGCTCACGACGGTAAGCACTCGGGTTAAATCTAGCTTTGCACCTGTTTTTCTCTCTTCCTTTCCCCTCTCCTTTGCAGATACCACTACAGTTGCCCATTTAAAGGTGTGGAAGGGGTGCTCCTTGGATTTTAAGTTAAGCGTCTGGCTGTGTTTCATACAGAGAATGTCAGTCAGGTTACAAGGCAGCATGGCTTATGATTTCAATGGCCCCTGCCTTGTGCAATGGATTTGAACCAGAACTGTAAGCGCCTTGTAAGATGTATGTCTTTGGGCTTTGCTCCACTTTCCTAGGAACAGTGCCTTTTGGATTGTTGTAAGAAATACCAGCTCTGGTGGGACAGTCTAAGCTGGATCTGGTCTCCCTGGACATGAGCTTCTCCAGGGGGTCCAGTAAGAGCCCAGACAGCCATTCAGACTAGCAGGGGTTGCATCTGGTTGCTCTGCTGCGGTCATTTCCTGTCATGCACCTTCCTGTATGGAAGTAAAATGGGTACCCTGTGGTCCCAGTGTACTTTAGGAATCTGAATCTTTAGTTTTAGTTTTCTTTGGTTGGTTGTTTTGTTTTGAGATCAGTCTAGCCTTGAACTCATAGAGATCCATCCATTTCTGTCTGTCAAGGGCTGGGATTAAAAGCATGCACCGCCACATACAGCCTCATCTTCATTTTCGTAAACAGTGTCTTCAGTAACAGGAGCTTTGCCATCATGTTTATTTCTAACATTGTTTGTGACTTCTGTGGTTTGAGTCACCAAACACTTAATTGAGTCTATTGATATTTCCTTCCTGATTTTCTAGACTACTGATTTAGTTTGGCTCTCTGTTGCTCTGACCAAAAGCACCCACAGGGGACGAAAGGTTCTGTTTGACAGGTTACTGTCCATCTTCAAAAGGAGCTTGAGGCAGGAACTGAGGCAAAGATTGGGGACGAACTCTGCTTCCTCTGCCTTGCTCAGCTTCTTATATATCCCAGACTGCCAGCCTAGGGATGGCACTGCTCATGGTGGTCTGGGCCCTGCCACATCAACCATCAAGCGAGAAAATGACTCATAGACATGTCCAAAGACCAATCAGATAGTGGCAATTCCTCAGCTGAGATTCCTGGTGACTCCAGCTTGTAGCAAATTGATAAAAACTAACCAGTGAGGTTACATCTTGTTGTTTTAACTAAACCACAAATTAAATGGTCACCTCAATACTTGATCTTTACTTTGATTGCATCCAAGTGTTTTGAAGTGTTTTCAGTGTTAGCATCTCTAAAAAGGCCTTTGGTTTTAGTTTTGATTTCCTGTTTAAACCAACAGCTTACACAATAGTTTCAGTGCTGGAGAGATGGATGGCTTAGTATCCGAGAGCAGTCCTGCTCTTCCAGAGGACCTGGGTTCAATTCCCAGCACCGACATGGCAGCTCACAGCTGTCTATAACTCCAGTTCCAGGGGATCTGACACTCTCACATCCATGTACATAGGAAAAAGAATAAATTATTTAAAAAATAGTGCTGTATCTGGCTGGATCATCTTTCCTCTTTTTGTTTTTTTCATTTTGTTATACAGATAGTATAACCTATATCCTTCACAGATTTTTAAAAATTTAGTTATTTCAATTATTATTATTATTATTATTATTAGTGTGTATGCAGGTATACCCATGGTGATCTTGTGGCAGTCAGGGGAGAACTTTGCTGAGTCAGTTTTCTCCTCCAGCGCGCCAGGTTTGCACTGCCAAGTTCTTTTACCCGCTACAACAGCTCACAAGCCCCATCCTTTTGAAATGTCTGTGACCTAGTCTGTTGCCTGATATCTAGCATTTGTTTTCAATAAAAGTTTATGGATCATTAAGTTTCTTTCTTTCTTTTTTTTTTTTTTTTTTTGGTTTTTCGAGACAGGGTTTCTCTGTGGCTTTGGAGCCTGTCCTGGAACTAGCTCTGTAGACCAGGCTGGGCTCGAACTCACAGAGATCCGCCTGCCTCTGCCTCCCGAGTGCTGGGATTAAAGGCGTGCGCCACCATCGCCCGGCTTTAAGTTTCTTAACTATTTTTGTACTTGAATACTTTTCTAAAAATATGTTTGCATATTCTGTAATTTATTCTGTTCTAGTGATGGATGTTTAGTTTACGTTTTCTTTTTAAGTAACATAAAAACGTTGTTATGAATATTCTGTTGCTTTTACCTGTGAATGTCAACTCTTCCTATCTGATTGTTTTTCATTACTGTAAAACATTTCCTTTCTGTTCTGTGTCCACCTCTCAGGCCGAATTTTTAGGCACTCTCAGCAACCTTTGATAACTTACGAAAAATACGATGTGACAGGCACTCCAAAGAACGTAGGAGGATCCCACTCTTCACCCCTTTTAAAGGCACATGGTGAGTGAACAGAGCAGCGTTGTTACATTTTATGGGATACACTAACCAACGAGCAGGCATTGGCTGGATCAGGAACAAGGGGGAGGGGGCAGGAGTCAAGGAGTCACTTAGCAAATTGGCATGATTCTTCTATCTTTTTTTTTTTTTTTTTTTTTTTTGGTTTTTCTGAAACAGGGTTTTCCTGTAGTTTTAGAGCCTGTCTTGGACCTAGCTCTTGTAGACCAGGCTGGCCTCCAACTCACTGAGATCCACCTGCCTCAGCCTCCCAAGTGCTGGGATTAAAGGCATGTGCCACCATTGCCTGGTGATTCTTTTATCTTTAAACAACGTTTTCAGGCAGATTGTCCCTCTGAATGTTTGTCAATTTTTATTAAAAGTGAGAAGGAGATCTAATTCAGTGGTCTGAACCCCGACCCATTAAAATCAACAGTGGAAATTTTTTAAACTCATCCAGGTTGAGTATTACTGGATTAATTAAGTTAATGCTTTTGAATCCTTGATTTTTGTCTTTTTTAATTAAAATAAATGCTAATTAGAAAGCAGTGTGTGGTTTTGGTTGTTTAGTAGTTTCTTTCTTGTGTTAGTATTTCAGCACAGGAAGTAGCGGTGCAGTGCTTAGATATTTGGATAAGTGGGAGAGTAGTGGCTTGGACCAAAGGCTCTCCTGTGCTTTGGGTCTACCAATGAAAGTTGATTCTACTTGCCGAGTGCACCGGCTCATGATGAAAAGAGAGGATTGAAAAGCAGGGAAGCCGTGCAAACTGTAGCATTACAACACACACGTTAGCCTCTCGGGGTTTTCTTGCTGTAGTCCCTTGACATTCTCCAGAGTTCTCGTCACAGAGGTGGTTTTCCACGACTGTCACCTTGAAAGCCACTTTCCCATCTTCAGCTGGATTCTGCTCCCGCTGCACCTCCAGTTGGGCAGGAGTTAGATCCAGAAGTCATGTGTCCTTCTGTCCATCCTTTGTTGTTTAGAGTAAGACTACTGGAGAAGAAAGCTGCAGGCGGGATTGTCAGAAAGAAGGTCAAGAACACAGTTGCTGTGGTCAAACTATTTGAGCGCTCTGTGCCTTTGTGTCCCCATCAGTCAGCTGGGGACAGTATAAATACCCATGAACAGTGGCAAAGGCCGTTTGACTAATATGTGTAAAACACTTGGTGTACCCCATACCTGCTAGGGTATGATCTTGTGGACTGTTAGCATCAGCAGTGGCGGTATAATAAGAACTATGATATATTGTGGGTTTTTTTTTGTGGGGGAGGGAATTATTTTTTCTATCTCTTAAATGTAGTTTGCTGGTCGTTTATATTTTCTGCAGCAGCTTACTCTGTGATGTGAGTCACTGTACCTTTCCCTCCCGTAGGTGCCTTAATGTCTGTGGCATGGATGACCACAGTTAGCATAGGAGTACTGGTTGCCCGGTTCTTCAGATCTGTGTGGTCCAAAGCCTTCTTCTTTGGTGAAGCAGCTTGGTTTCAGGTTAGTAATAGAAAAGGCTTAAAACCATTTATTTCCATGTTATTCAAACACTGTGACGTGAAGTCTGTGTGTGTGTGTGTGTGTGTGTGTGTGTGTGTGTGTGTGTGTGGGCGCGCGCACTCATGTGCGTAAGCACACATAGATGTGTGGGCATGTGTGTGTGAGGACAACTTTTGGGAGTCAGTTTTCTTCCACCGTATGGATGCTGGGATCACTCAGGTTGTCAGGTTACACAGCAAATCCGTTTACTTACTGATCCATCTCGCTGGCCCACGTGTTTTTTTTTCTTTTCTCAGTTACAGCTATTGCAGGTCTTAGATCCATTCCCCTCCCCCCAGTTTCCTAAGCACCTCAGAACCAACGTAAGATTCTTTACAGAGTCTGGTTTCTTGATGAGTGGGCTGGATTGGAGAACATGTTATGGTCAAATGATCCTTCCTTACCCTTAGGTTTGTAGTGGGAGAAGCTGAGAGGGATTAGCTCACTGCTCTAGGTCAGTTTGAGTCAAGGAGGTCTGGAAAGCCCAGGAAGGAAATGCTGGTGCTCGCCGCATGTCTGCCCTCTGCTTGGTGAGCCCCTGAGAGCTGGAATCTCCCTATTTAACAGTCAAGAGCATCTGATGATGTGTGGTATAAGAAACAGGAAGTGCTTTTTTCCTTGCTGAGCCATCCTGTGGATGGGGAGTTGGGGTCCTACAGAACACGGTGAGGGTCAACAAGCAGGAAGGCTGGCCAGCCTTATCTTCATGGGCAGGAGACTGTGGGTATTTGCACATGTACTGAGCCATCAGTCAGTGTGTGGCATGACATTGCACACACCTGCGTCTAAGAAAAAGGGAGGCGTCCTGACCTCATCAGAGCACAGCCTTCACTGCTCCTGGCCATAGAAACAGCTCTTGAGGTTCCTCTTATTTTAACCTCGTTTCTCTTCTTAGTTGACAGGGTCGCCTATTTTATTTATTCTCTTTAAGAATACTTTCTAAAAATTATTGTATTACTACTTTTTGCGTGTGTGGGTGTTTTGCTTGCATGTAAGTCTGTATCTCATGCGTGCCTGGTGCCTGAAGAGGCCGGAAGAGGGTGTTTGGGTCCCTTGAAACTGGAGTTATAGATAGTTGTGAGGAACTGTGTGGGTGCTGGGAATTGAACCTGGGTCCTCTGCAAAAGCAGCCGGTGCTCTTAACCACTAAGCCATCTCTCCAGTCCTTATTGATTCTATTTTTTTTTGCTATGTGCCCATTCTGTCCGTCCCTGCCTGTGAGCTCTCATGCCTATTTCTTTCTCCTCCAATCTGCACTGTAGATTTTCCAGTTAGAAGACCATGCTCTTTATCAGTCCAACTCCTCTATTGCCTTTATTCTTTGAAATATATGTATGTATGCATGTATGCATATGTGTGTGTTTGGGAGGACATGTATGCATTCATGTGGTCACTCGTGATGTGGGAGTGTGTGTACCTTAGTGAGCTTGTGTCGAGGTCAGAGGATAGTTTTGTGGCATCGATTCTCTCTTTACAAAGCAGTGGGCTTTGTGTGTGAGATCTCCATTCCGGCTGCTGTGAGGGGACAGCCTACCAGGAACTGAATTCACGTCATCAGGCTTGTTCACCAAGTGCCTCTACCCACTGAGCCAACTTGTCCATCCTTCCGCTGTTCCTAAACATACACTGTTGATATGTGGATATGTTAGTGACAGTCACACATCGACAGAAACTTATAGGGTCTATCTATCATACTCTGTATCATGTAGAGTAACCTTGTCCTGGAATAAATTCTGGCTTACACCAGCTGTCCGATACATAACAATGCCCATTTTCATTCTTAATATTTTCTTGATTTTCCACAAAGAATTATACGTTCCATATAATGTTCGTTTATTGCCTCTGATTACACTATAAGCCCTGCAGGATGCAGTGTTTTGGATTTTCTTGCTGTCCTTCTGCACATGGCATAGCACTCTGCATGGTGACAGAGCTTCATCCATGCCTGTGGAAGGAAATGAAGGCCTTGGCAAATAAGCGTGTTTTGTGTGTGGTATCCGTTTCTGCCGTAGGGAGCAGGCGAAGCTTTAGTGAGCCCCTTTGAGTGAGGAGATGGCAGCGCAGAGTTTTCTTTAGTTTAATGGCCTATGACATTTTATTTTGATTGTTTTGATGTAAGCGGGATGTATGGCTTCAGTGAATCTCCCATGAGTGCCCTGCTGTGATACCAGATGTCTTTTATGAAGTGAGCCATCTTCTCACCCTGCCATCTCCCCTTGCAGGTGCACCGGATGCTCATGCTCGCCACATCTGTGCTCACCTGTGTTGCTTTTGTTCTGCCTTTTGTGTACAGAGGAGGCTGGAGTCGGGTAAGGATGCCTTCAGCAGCAGGTTTCCCTATAAATCTGTTTTGATGTCAAGGCAGATTGCTGCTTTATTCTCAGAGGTGGATAATGAGACATTTCTGTGTGCATCCTATTTTCCTGTTTTTGAGTTATCTGATGACTTCACCTGGTTGGGGATTGGGACAGAAGGGAGACTGTGAATATAGATCGCTTGGTACTGATGTATTTTTAGGCTGTATTACATCTCATGCATTCCTTTAGTGAGTGTGTATTCCTTCTAGAATGTTGAGAAATTGAAGTATGAAGTCTAAAATTTATTATTTATGTATGCATTAATGTTTGAGTTAGGGTTTCTTCCTCCCTCCCTCCCTCCCTTTTCCTTCCTTCCTTCTTTCCTTCCTTCCTTCCTTTCTTTCTTTTTGAGATAGGGTTTCTACGGCTGTCTTGAAACTTACTCTGTAGACCAGGTTGGCTTTGAACTGAGAGATCTGCCTGCATCTGCCGCCTGAGTGCTGGAATTAAAGGCGTGAGCTACCACAGTCGAGCTATTTTTGCTATTTTAATGATGTGTATGTGAATTTGTGAGGATCTGGGTAACTCCAGCACCAGAGGCAAGCATAGTGGTTGTGAGCTGCCCGATGTGGGTGCTGGGAACTCCTAACTGCTGAGCCATCTTTGCAGCCCAAGGGTGATGTCTAAGAAACAGGATCAATTGAAGTGGCTTTTTCTTTTTCTTTTTTTTTTCTTTTGGTTTTTCGAGACAGGGTTTCTCTGTGGTTTTGGAGCCTGTCCTGGAACTAGCTCTTGTAGACCAGGCTGGTCTCGAACTTACAGAGATCCGCCTGCCTCTGCCTCCCAAGTGCTGGGATTAAAGGCGTGCGCCTCCACCACCCGGCGAAGTGGCTTTTTCTTACAGTTTTCATTAAGTCAACAGAGAATTGCATCTCTACTGTATGATCAGTCTTGCTATATATATCAAGTTTTTAAAAATTAATTAAGATATAATAAATATATTACATCCCCCTTCCTTTTCTTTCTTTCCTTTAACCCTTCCCATGTCTCCCCCCTCCAACTCTTCACATTTTCCCCTCCCTCCTCGAATTGATGGCCTCTTTTTCTATGATTATCAGTTTTTTCTTTCTCTCTCTCCACAAACATGAGTGTGTAACTATAACCTGCTGTGACCATTTATTGTTGCTGCGTATATATGACCTCAGGGTTGACCCTTTGTATTGGTTACCAATTAGGGGCCTCAATCCTGGGTGAGACTAATTCTCCCTCTCTCAGCTGTCATGAGTTGCCTGTGGCTCTTTATCTAGGGGTGGGACTTTGTGACAGTTCCCTCTTCTGTGCTAGCATGCTTATTGTGTGGTGGTGTTCAAATCTCAGGCTAAGGGTATTTCTGTGTCATTTCTAGGACACACGGCCTCCCAGCAGACTTCCTGGTGCTCTGGCTCTTGCAGTCATTCCATGCACAATGTATATGGTTTTTAAACTTGGTTTAAACTGACAGGAAAGACTGACTATTAACGATGCCCTTTTCAGCGTGCAGGGTACCACCCATACCTCGGCTGTACAGTGATGACTTTGGCTGTCCTTCAGCCTCTGCTAGCAACCTTCAGACCACCTTTACATGACCCAAGGTACAGACAGCTCTTCCATATACACACCCTTCGTGTGTGCGTCACTAGATGGGCAACTACTTTCTTTTCAAGGTAGAAGCACTTTGCATTTGTAGCTCACAGTGATTGACTGTATTTACATTTAAGGACTTTAAAATGGGTTTCAGATACCTAGTTCCCTGGTAATAGGGAAATTGCATGCTTCTTATTCTCTTGGGGATAAATTGCTATTCCATCATTTTAAAGACTACCAACTGGCTCTTTATTTTGGTAGGAGGCAGGTGTTTAACTGGACTCACTGGAGTGTGGGGACGGCGGCTAGAATAATAGCAGGTAAGTGAGCGCGGTGCCACTTACTCATATATAATTGTCGGTTGTTTACACCGAAGGTTGTAATTTGGCTTAAATGATTTTAGATGCATTAGTAATTGGAGTAATTGGTTGTTGAGGAGAAATCAGCCCGAAACATTGAAATCCAGAAAGTAATTTCTACAAGGAACTATTTAAGTCATTATTTAAAGCTAAAGTTAAAAAAAAATGGCTTTAAAACTTTAAAACTCAGCCCTTTCTTTCCCATTTCCTCACATTTCCTTTGCAAACAAATGAGACTATGACGATGGCCAAACACTCAGGCAGGGTAAGCGAGGGTCCCGGGGTGAGGAGGATGAAGTACGCTGGTACAAGTCTGCCGGCTCCAGGCCATTTCTCTGCTGCCTGGACTTGGAGGGCTGATGGTCTTCAGAGGGCAGCTGGAATTACCTGACAAAACCTTTCATTTCAGTACTGGGGAATCAGTACCCAGGGCCTCATCGCTGGAAGGCAAGCACACTACCACTGAGCTATGTCCTCAGGCCTTTTTAATCATTTTTTTTTTTTTTGAGACTAGGACTTACCAGTTTGTCAAGTCTAATCTTGACCTTGCTCTAGCTCAGGCAGCCCTTGAGCTTGTGACCTCCCTGCCTCAGCGCCTCCCCCCCGCAACCCTCCCCCCCACATCAAATATCTTCTGTTGATTCCAAGGGAGCCACCTCTCACCTATATATATATATATATATATTCTATTGCTTGTAGGATTAAGTGCAGGACGGAAAGGGCAACAGTCATTTCTTCATTTCTCCCTCTTTGCTCCATTGCAGAATTACATTTCTGGAAATGTTAGGCACCTTTGTTGTTGTTATTGGTGTTGGGTATCGAAGCCAGAGCTTTATGCCTGCTGGCTAGTCCTCTACCCCTGAGCTACCTCCCTGGTTCGTGGGTGCTTTCTTAACAGTGGTTAGATCATCATTTCCTATTTTGTCTTATGTCGTCTTACACTAAGGAAGGCCAGATTCTCTCAGCCCTAAAGATTTTTCTTTTCATAAATGTTTAATGTATTCTAATTAATCTGTAATGCATCAATTATTCTTTTCACTGAGCACTGTATTTGAGCACCGCCCCCTCTTTGTCTACATAGTGGCAGCAATGTTCCTAGGAATGGATTTACCGGGGCTGAATCTCCCTAGTCCACAGAAGACCTATGCCATGATGGGGTTTGTGGTCTGGCACATCGGGACCGAGGTGCTTCTGGAGATACATGCTTATCGGCTCTCTCGAAAAGGTAACCTGCTTGGAAAGCTCTACTGTGGGCTGGAGGGATGGTGCAGGGTACGTGCTTGCCACTGCAAGCATCAGGATCTGAGTTCAAATCTCCAGCAGCCACATGAAAAACCGGGCATGGTCATGTGTGTCTGTAACCCTAGTGCTGTGCAGGAATGGAGACAGGAGGATGGCTGGGATTTGCTGGCTGCCAGCCTCACTCCAAGTTCAGGGAGGGATGTTGACTGAAGGAAATAAGGCAGAGAGTCTCCATGTGTGCTTGCCCATGGCACGTGTGTAAACACATGCATGCACATACACATATGTGCACGCCCATCCCACCCCACCCAGGTACAGAAAGTTTGCAACATTTAGTAGCTTGAAATGCAGAAAATTGGGGTGTTTTAGGATTCAGGTTTTATCTTATTCTTTTGACAACCAGTTGACTTGCGTATCACCCTTGTTCTTGACAGTGGAAATACTGGACGATGATAGAATTCAGATCCTCCAGTCACTAACTGTCGCGGAAGCAGAGGTGAGCTTCTCCTCTCTTGTTGATCGACACAAACCTTAATGACGGTGCTTTCCGCTAAATCTCAGTTTTCATTTCAGGGTCATGTTTTTAAGAAGGCGGTGTTGGCGATTTACATATGTGGGAATGTGGCTTTCCTCATGGTGTTCTTATCTGCAATCAACCAAGTATGAGCAAGTGAAGACTGTTTTTTTCTTGTTTGTTTGTTTGTTTTTTTGATGGGCCTGGGTCATAATTATCAAAACAAGGAGATCCGGGCTCACGTTGACTACCTGGAATATGTTTTAATTTGGAAGACCCATGGGCACCGCGAGAGAAGATTTCTGAAGTCTGGTCTATGCAGATTCTATCCAGCTAGGCCATGCAGCCTGTGCATTGATGTCAGTCAAGTCTTTTTGTGTGTTCTTCTGCACCTCAAAAGGAACACTGTACTCAAGGTGACATGACTGTCAGCGTCACACACCAGATTTGAAACAGTAAACTAGAATGATTAGCAAATGAAGATAATTATCTCAGGCAAAGGATCAATGGGGATTGTGTCTTTGGGAATGAGACAGGTTTTGTGTAGCCCAGGCTGGCTTCCAATTGGCTGTGTAACCAAGGGTAACCCTGAACCTATCTTCCTGCCTCGGCTTCCGGGTGTGGGATTATAGGCGTGTGCCACTATATCTGGTCTTAAGGGGACTGTAACTTTCATGGCAGCGCTACTGTGGGTACTGAAAAGAAAGCATTGTGTTGACTAGTTTGTTCAGAGATCTTAGATTTTTAAAATTTGTTGCTACGCTTTGTTGTTTTTATGAGCACATACACACACCAAACAAAGTAAACCTACAAGAACAAAACACGTTTCCAGTCCAAGGTCGGGGACGTTTTCTTTGCTGTGTGTGTTCCATCCCTCCTGGTTAAAGGCGGAGGTGTGGTTGGTTTATTTCTCGGCGTACATTTCACTAGCTTTTCATTATATTATGAATATGAAATTTTCTTTGTTAGCAGTGAGATACAGGTAGGCATCTTCTGCTTAGAGATATACCATTTCTTTTTTCATCCGTGGAGCTGAAACGGCATTTTGTTTGGTTTCAGCTCTAAGATTAGTCTTTCTGGGAGAGAGAGATCAAAGTCATGGATTTCACATTTGCGAAAACTCAGCCTTGTGAGCGTGTCCGGCAGGTGTTCTCGTCTCTGGTGAAGATGAAATAATAAGGATGGGTTCTTCCGAACCTCCCTGGTGCTCTAGGAATTCAGCACTGGCAGAGCTGTTTTCCTTTCTCATTTCTCTCAGTGTTTGCTATGAGGCCTTATAGCCAGTGGGTGGCGCTGTGATACTGGAGGACTCATTTTTTCAGACCACTTTAATCACTTTGTTTTTTTTTCCTTTTTTTTTTTTTTTTTTTTTAATATGGGGCTATTTTCTTACACGCTACGGCTCTTAACTTTTTTTTCTTTTCTTTTTGGGTTGGGGAAATAGGTGCGAGAAACTTAAATTAGTGACTGGTGCTATTACATTCTGACTTAATTTTTTAAATTATTTTTAGTGGCTGATATTTTCTTTCATATTCCTCCAACCCTGTAGCAAATGAAGATAATTTCCTTGGGCAAGGGAAACAAGCAAAATTGGACACTTAAAAAAATAAAATAATTGGGAAGGTATATTTTATTTCTTTGGACATTCTTTCTGATTATTATAAAATTTCTGCTTGGCCCCAGAACGCTATTTTTATCTCTGAGTAATGAATGACCTCAGCATCATATTTTTTATTTCTAACAAATAAAGTGAATTTTTTCTTTTCATTTTTCTTTTACATAGATCTTAGTTAAAAAATAGCTTAGGGTTCAGGCCAGAATTTTCTGTGTTCATGTTCAGTGAGTTCTGTGCTACAGTCTACACTATCTCCTGAGAATGTTTTTTTTATTTCAAGAGAAAAAGGGCTGGAGAGGTAGTTCAGTTGTGCGATGCTTGAGCAGTGTGTATGAGTCCTGGGTCCATCCTAGCACCGGAGGAGCAGACATTCTGAGTAACAATTTAAATCTGTATGAAGACATTTTCTTCCCGTTTTCCATTATAAGCTGCTGAAGGCCAAAACAGCTCTCTTAATACGTTATATTCAATATCTGACAAGAAAAATTCTTCTTGGGATAGGTGAAATTTGCTTAGGTTATTTTTTCAGATAGGTGAGCTTTTGCATTTCAAGTGCTGAGGCCAATGTAATATAGCCTCTTAAAAGAAATATTTTTATTAATTCATTCTTTAAAAATTTTGCATAGCCGGGCGGTGGTGGCGCACGCCTTTAATCCCAGCACTCGGGAGGCAGAGGCAGGCGGATCTCTGTGAGTTCGAGACCAGCCTGGTCTACAAGAGCTAGTTCCAGGACAGGCTCCAAAACCACAGAGAAACCCTGTCTCGAAAAACCAAAAAAAAAAAAAAATTTTTGCATAATGTGTTTGGATCATATTCACCTTACTCCTTCCAGATCTACCACTATTTTCCTACCTCCAGACTGTGTGTGTGTGTGTGTATGTATGTATATATATATATATATATATATATATATATTATAATTCGACTCTAATTGTGCTGTCTATATTACTCCTGGATCTGAGGCCACCCACTGGGGAACAAGGTTTATCATAAGCCACACCCTTAAAGAAACTGGCTCCCTTCCACCATTGGTCCTCAGGGATGGGGCATGTGGACCTCTTCCCACTTGTGCTATTGGCTTGATCTTGTATGGGTGCTGTGCAGACAAACGTGAGTTCACGAGCGGATTGGTGCTGCCAACTCCTGAAGACACTGTTTGTACCCTGCTCCTTCTTCTTGTGCAAAGGAGATCTGTTCCTCTGTAGACATCTGTGCCACTTAATCCCAGCATGCCTGTTGTTTCCCTTAGGGACACATTCCAACTCTTTGGCTCCCTGTGCTCTGTCTCCACAAACTACAAATGCTGCTTCTTGCCCCTCAATTTTTCTTCTTGTGTCTGTAATAAACGATATGGGTAGTTAAATATATATATCTTTTGATAAGAACAATTGCTAAGTTAAATGATTTTCTGTGTTGGGCATATTGTCAAAAACAGTAAGATCATGTGTTTTCTTTTCTTTCTTTTCTTTCTTTCTTTCTTTCTTTCTTTTTTTTTTTTTTTGGTTTTTCAAGACAGGGTTTCTCTGTAGCTTTGGAGGCTGTCCTGGAACAAGTTCATGTAGACCAGGCTGGCCTCGAACTCTCAGAGATCCGCCTGCCTCTGCCTTCCGAGTGCTGGGATTAAAAGTGTGCGCCACCACTGCCCGGCGAGATCATGTTTTCTTAAAGAAGGGAGGTTCTGTAAAATGGGGATCAGTATGTGTTTAACAAACCCAACAGCATGGACTAGGAAACCATGGTTAGGGTAGCATGTGTAAACTAAGTCTGGGTTTGTTTCCATCTGTTTCCTGTGTGAGGTGATGAAGCCAGGGCACAGGTGGTCTGTTACTTGTTAGTGAGTGTGTGAGCCACTTTCGTGTTGGCCCTTCTCAGTGTGTGGTGTGCTTTGGAGCTGTAGGCCAGGTGATACCTCACCCTTACATATCCGGCTCCAGCCCGGGAGGCTGTGGGAAGGATAACACAGCAGATGCCGACCAGGAAGCCGTGGGGGCTTGTGTGGCTCTTGGCTGAAAGTCTATTTATCTATGTATTCTAGTGAAGTAAGGGGAAACAGAGAACAAAGGCCCTTGTTCAAGATAATCCGTTATTAATGGAACCGGAGCAACGATTCTTTTAAGTTCTTTATAAACCGGATCAGCCTTCTCACAGCTCCCCTGTCCTTCTTCCTTCCTGGTCTAACCCTTGGCACACTCACTGCTGTGCCCACAGCCTTGTACTCACCCAGCGCAGTGCCTTTCTGTTCTCGTCCTGGCCAGAATCAGTAGATTTATGTTTTACTCAAGTTCTTTCCTCTCCTTGGTGCCTTGTCCCATTCCCCCTTGTCCTGACCGTCTTTGTGAGTGGATGGTGGGATGGGAGGCAGATGCTGCTGTGAATTAGAAAGGGCCAGGGGCTCAGAGGCCTGAGTAGCCACATTTGTTTCTGAGTTCCGTGCTCATGGCAAATTCATTTGTCTTCCGTGAGTCCTCTTTGTCATCTTCAAAAATCTATCTCACTAGCCGGGTGGTGGTGGTGCCCCCCTTTAATCCCAGCACTCGGGAGGCAGAGGGAGGCAGATTTCTGTGAGTTCGAGGCCAGCCTGGGCTACAAGAACTAGTTTTAGGACATGCTCCAAAGCTACAGAGAAACCCTGCCTTGATAAAAAAAAAAAAAAAAAAAAAAAAAAACAAAAAAAAAACAAAAAAAATAAAACAAAACAAAACAAAAAAACGCCCCCAAAAAACGATCTCACTAAACTTTGTGAGGACTGAACAAAACGATGCCAAAGGTGTTTGCCTTGTACATGTTGGTGGTAAGGTCTTTGCCACTTGATTACAGTGCTAAACTTTAATAATGTTTGCATATTAAATGTGTATTTTTTATTATAAGAATATGTATGATGCTCATCTTGAAAACATTGAGCCAAATGAAATGATATAAAGGACAGTTGATTCTGTTGTGGGACCCAGCAGGATCAAATGTGCGGAGAACCAGGGTAGAATTCAGGTCAGTGGGTTGGGAGTGGGTAGCTAGGGGATGGGAGTTGTTATTTAACAAGTACAAAGTTTATGTCTGGGGAATGGGTAGTAATGATTGTACAACTTTCTGAATGTATTTAATGCACTGAACTCTGCCTCAAACATGGTTGAAATAAACACATGGAAACTGAGAAGAATGTTCATTGTGGCACTGTTCATGTCAAATGACGGATGGTACACCCTACATGCCCATCGACAGATTGGCGAATACGCAGGCAGAGGAGCGCTGTCCAGCCACACAAAGGAATAAGGCACTGATTCCTGCTGTAATGTGATGGAGCCTTTGAAATACGCTAAGTGAGCGAAGCCAGAGACACAGGTTAACTACTGCATGGTTCCATGTATATGGAATATTCAGAACAGCTAACGCAATAGAAGAGTATTAACGCTTGCTGGGGGCTAAGTAGAGGCAGAGAGTGGGAGGGAACTCCTTAGTGGTTGTAAACTTTTATTTTCATCTGACAAAATGTCTTGGTGCTTGATAGAGGCACGAGATGAATGCCGAGGATCGTCCATTTTAAGACCGTTAAATTTTGTGCTGTTTGCGTTTTCCTTCAGTATTAGTGTGGCCTGGCCCTGGGGTTTATAACGTTGGGGTGACAAAGATCCAGAGGTCATGCTGGTCATAAACGTAGTTCCAGGTTAATCTCTTATTTTGCTGTCAGAGAAGTTAATGCGATTATAGAGTACCCAGCCTTTGAACTCTGCTTTTGGGGTGGGAAAGGTCTAAAAGAATATACTAGAAAATTTGTCTTTTTCATATGACAGTGTATTCACACATAAAGCCAATTTTACTGAGCTCTCCTCTGTGGACCTCAATAACCTTTTAGCTTTTCACTCAGGCCCTGAAATTGATGATCGGAATAAACTTCCTCAAACCACGGGTTCTAAATAACTGACGTTCTCTGACGCTATTTTCTGATGTTCAAAGAATAATGTTCTGGGTAAGGCCCTGCCCAGCCCTCACAAACAGACAAACAACTCTTGTAAACATGGAAACTGTTAGTTTCCAGAGTAAACAAATATAGTAAGGTTCTGGCAGGGAATGTGCACTCAGAGGGGGAAAGTCTCTGTTTTGGAGCCAGGCTTCTATCACTTTTGTTTGGCTTCTATCCCTTCCAGACAGTGGCAATCAGCGTGCTGTGGAGTGTCAGGAACCCAGCAGAAAACTAGCAGCTTTTCTGGTCTAGA